GTGGTCAAAAAAGGTTGATTTTGAAAACGAATCAGTTTTTGGTCGACCATTTTGTTTAGCCCATAGATCCTAAATTTATTTGAATGCCAGTTGATAGTAGGGATCCGTACGAATTTAAAAAGGTATAACATTTCAAAATCAGACGATATTTACCGGAGATATGCAAAAAAAACCATCGAAAAAGGTTTGATTTTCGAACCGAACCCGATTTTGATAAAAATCGTGATGTAACCCCTTGCCATTTTGGTCGATTTGGGTCAAAATTTAGATTTTCTATTTTTTGATGCCAGTCGATAGTACTGATCCTTACGAGTCCAAAATGGTATAAAATTCCAAAATCGGACACTATTTGGCCGAGATATGCCAAAAAGTGGTCAAAAAAGGTTGATTTTGAAAACGAATCAGTTTTTGCTCGACCATTTTGTTAAGCCCATAGATCCTAAATTTATTTGAATGCCAGTTGATAGTAGGGATCCGTACGAATTTAAAAAGGTATAACATTTCAAAATCAGACGATATTTACCGGAGATATGCGAAAAAAACCATCGAAAAAGGTTTGATTTTCGAACCGAACCCGATTTTGATAAAAATCGTGATGTAACCCCTTGCCATTTTGGTCGATTTGGGTCAAAATTTAGATTTTCTATTTTTTGATGCCAGTCGATAGTACTGATCCTTACGAGTCCAAAATGGTATAAAATTCCAAAATCGGACACTATTTGGCCGAGATATGCCAAAAAGTGGTCAAAAAAGGTTGATTTTGAAAACGAATCAGTTTTTGGTCGACCATTTTGTTTAGCCCATAGATCCTAAATTTATTTGAATGCCAGTTGATAGTAGGGATCCGTACGAATTTAAAAAGGTATAACATTTCAAAATCAGACGATATTTACCGGAGATATGCGAAAAAAACCATCGAAAAAGGTTTGATTTTCGAACCGAACCCGATTTTGATAAAAATCGTGATGTAACCCCTTGCCATTTTGGTCGATTTGGGTCAAAATTTAGATTTTCTATTTTTTGATGCCAGTCGATAGTACTGATCCTTACGAGTCCAAAATGGTATAAAATTCCAAAATCGGACACTATTTGGCCGAGATATTCCAAGATATGCCAGTCGATAGTACTGATCCTTACGAGTACAAAATTGGAGTTATGTCGTTTTCAAACGTCATATCTTCCGCGGATATATGTCGTTTTTAGAGCGGCGGAGTTATGTCGCTTCAAAACGACATAATCTCGCCATGATCAGCGGCGGAGTTATGTCGTTTTCAAACGCCATAATTTCGCCAGAAAGCATACAAATTCAAAAAGGTATAATATTTGAAAATCAGACTTTATTTGCCCGAGATATTCAAAAAAAAATCATCAAAAAAGGTTTGATTTTCGAACCGAACCCGATTTTGATAAAAATCGTGATGTAACCCCTTGCCATTTTGGTCGATTTGGGTCAAAATTTAGATTTTCTATTTTTTGATGCCAGTCGATAGTACTGATCCTTACGAGTCCAAAATGGTATAAAATTCCAAAATCGGACACTATTTGGCCGAGATATGCCAAAAAGTGGTCAAAAAAGGTTGATTTTGAAAACGAATCAGTTTTTGCTCGACCATTTTGTTTAGCCCATAGATCCTAAATTTATTTGAATGCCAGTTGATAGTAGGGATCCGTACGAATTTAAAAAGGTATAACATTTCAAAATCAGACGATATTTACCGGAGATATGCGAAAAAAAACCATCGAAAAAGGTTTGATTTTCGAACCGAACCCGATTTTGATAAAAATCGTGATGTAACCCCTTGCCATTTTGGTCGATTTGGGTCAAAATTTAGATTTTCTATTTTTTGATGCCAGTCGATAGTACTGATCCTTACGAGTCCAAAATGGTATAAAATTCCAAAATCGGACACTATTTGGCCGAGATATTCCAAGATATGCCAGTCGATAGTACTGATCCTTACGAGTACAAAATTGGAGTTATGTCGTTTTCAAACGTCATATCTTCCGCGGATATATGTCGTTTTTAGAGCGGCGGAGTTATGTCGCTTCAAAACGACATAATCTCGCCATGATCAGCGGCGGAGTTATGTCGTTTTCAAACGCCATAATTTCGCCAGAAAGCATACAAATTCAAAAAGGTATAATATTTGAAAATCAGACTTTATTTGCCCGAGATATTCAAAAAAAAATCATCAAAAAAGGTTTGATTTTCGAACCGAACCCGATTTTGATAAAAATCGTGATGTAACCCCTTGCCATTTTGGTCGATTTGGGTCAAAATTTAGATTTTCTATTTTTTGATGCCAGTCGATAGTACTGATCCTTACGAGTCCAAAATGGTATAAAATTCCAAAATCGGACACTATTTGGCCGAGATATGCCAAAAAGTGGTCAAAAAAGGTTGATTTTGAAAACGAATCAGTTTTTGGTCGACCATTTTGTTTAGCCCATAGATCCTAAATTTATTTGAATGCCAGTTGATAGTAGGGATCCGTACGAATTTAAAAAGGTATAACATTTCAAAATCAGACGATATTTACCGGAGATATGCAAAAAAAACCATCGAAAAAGGTTTGATTTTCGAACCGAACCCGATTTTGATAAAAATCGTGATGTAACCCCTTGCCATTTTGGTCGATTTGGGTCAAAATTTAGATTTTCTATTTTTTGATGCCAGTCGATAGTACTGATCCTTACGAGTCCAAAATGGTATAAAATTCCAAAATCGGACACTATTTGGCCGAGATATGCCAAAAAGTGGTCAAAAAAGGTTGATTTTGAAAACGAATCAGTTTTTGCTCGACCATTTTGTTAAGCCCATAGATCCTAAATTTATTTGAATGCCAGTTGATAGTAGGGATCCGTACGAATTTAAAAAGGTATAACATTTCAAAATCAGACGATATTTACCGGAGATATGCGAAAAAAACCATCGAAAAAGGTTTGATTTTCGAACCGAACCCGATTTTGATAAAAATCGTGATGTAACCCCTTGCCATTTTGGTCGATTTGGGTCAAAATTTAGATTTTCTATTTTTTGATGCCAGTCGATAGTACTGATCCTTACGAGTCCAAAATGGTATAAAATTCCAAAATCGGACACTATTTGGCCGAGATATGCCAAAAAGTGGTCAAAAAAGGTTGATTTTGAAAACGAATCAGTTTTTGCTCGACCATTTTGTTTAGCCCATAGATCCTAAATTTATTTGAATGCCAGTTGATAGTAGGGATCCGTACGAATTTAAAAAGGTATAACATTTCAAAATCAGACGATATTTACCGGAGATATGCAAAAAAAACATCGAAAAAGGTTTGATTTTCGAACCGAACCCGATTTTGATAAAAATCGTGATGTAACCTCTTGCCATTTTGGTCGATTTGGGTCAAAATTTAGATTTTCTATTTTTTGATGCCAGTCGATAGTACTGATCCTTACGAGTCCAAAATGGTATAAAATTCCAAAATCGGACACTATTTGGCCGAGATATGCCAAAAAGTGGTCAAAAAAGGTTGATTTTGAAAACGAATCAGTTTTTGGTCGACCATTTTGTTTAGCCCATAGATCCTAAATTTATTTGAATGCCAGTTGATAGTAGGGATCCGTACGAATTTAAAAAGGTATAACATTTCAAAATCAGACGATATTTACCGGAGATATGCGAAAAAAACCATCGAAAAAGGTTTGATTTTCGAACCGAACCCGATTTTGATAAAAATCGTGATGTAACCCCTTGCCATTTTGGTCGATTTGGGTCAAAATTTAGATTTTCTATTTTTTGATGCCAGTCGATAGTACTGATCCTTACGAGTCCAAAATGGTATAAAATTCCAAAATCGGACACTATTTGGCCGAGATATGCCAAAAAGTGGTCAAAAAAGGTTGATTTTGAAAACGAATCAGTTTTTGCTCGACCATTTTGTTTAGCCCATAGATCCTAAATTTATTTGAATGCCAGTTGATAGTAGGGATCCGTACGAATTTAAAAAGGTATAACATTTCAAAATCAGACGATATTTACGGGAGATATGCAAAAAAACCATCGAAAAAGTTTTGATTTTTGAACCGAACCCGAATTTGATAAAAATCGTGATGTAACCCCTTGCTTTTTGGTCGATTTTGGTCAAAATTTAGATTTTCTATTTTTTGATGCCAGTCGATAGTACTGATCCTTACGAGTCCAAAATGGTATAAAATGTTAAAATCGGACAGTATTTGGCCGAGATATTCAAAAAAATCATCAAAAAAGGTTTGATTTTCGAACCGACCCCGATTTTGAAAAAAAACGTGATGTAACCCCTTGCCATTTTGTCGATTTGGGTCAAAATTTCGAATTTCCCTTTCTTAATGCCAATCGATAGTACTGATCCTTACGCGTCCAAAATGGTATACAATTTCAAAATCTGACATTATTTGTCAGAAATATTGCAAAAAATCATCAAAAAAGGTTGATTTTACAAACGAATCGGTTTTTTGTCAACAACATTTTTTAACCCATCGATGTTTAATTTGTTTGAATGCCAATTGATGGTAGGGATCCGTACGCATTCAAAAAGGTACAACATTTTAAAATCAGACATTATTTACCCGAGATATTGAAAAAATATAATCAAAAAAGTTTCGATTTTCGAACCGACCCCGATTTTTAAAAAAAACGTGATAATTTGGAACGTCATATCTCCGCGCGGAGTTATGTCGTTTTGGAACGTCGGTGCGAAAATGAAACTTTTTAAATGATTTTTTCTCGGCCAAAACGGCATGCGTGTTAGGTCTAAAGTGTATCAAAAATAATGATGATGGTTTTTTTCAGCTGCTTCAAGCTGCTGCCATACGGTGGACAGAGTATTGCTACGTCGGTTGCAGCCGACTGGAACGTTTTTTTCTGTTTCAAATGCAAAGCACAGCGCCATTATTCCGGCGACATGTCTTATTCTCTGAGTGCACTACGGAATTCCTGCTGCAGTTGCTCATCCATGTGAATAATGTTTTCTCCCTTTTACAGTTCCCAAGAAGAACATCTTCAGCATGCGCTTCGCCAGCGATTTTCAGAATCTGCAATTGTGGTGGCAAATTGGGCAGATGACCACGGAGCATGCGCTGCAGGATGCGCAGGTGAGGCGACTGATCGATAGCCAAGACGAGCACTACGATGTGGTCATATTGGAGCAGTTCTTTCACGAGGCATTCCTCATGTTTGGCCACAAGTTCAAGTGTCCGGTGATCACCATTGGCACCATGGGCTACGCGGACAATATGGACCATGCCATGGGCATACTGACGCCCTGGTCGGTCATACCCCACCTGCTGCTGCCGCATACGGATCAGATGACATTCGTGCAACGTGCCTACAACACGTACTTGTCCCTGTACGATGCAGTCATGAGGCGTTGGTACTACTTGCCACGCATGCAGCAGCTGGTGGAAAAGTATTTTGGAGCAGCCATCAAAGGTGGGTGCGAGATCTCTTAGATTCCTTTGCAGCTACTCACGGCTGGTTAATCTTTCAGGTGAACTGCCCCATGTGCATGACTTGGAGCGCAACATCTCGCTGATGCTCATCAACAGCCATCGCAGCATCGATCTGCCACGCCCCAGCATGCCGGGTCTTGTCAATGTGGGCGGCGCGCATATAAAGCCCGCCAAGAAGCTGCCAACCGAAATGCAAAGCTTTATGGACAATGCCACACATGGCGTGGTCTACTTCAGTCTGGGCTCGTATATGAAAAGCACGGATATGCCGCCGGAGAAGACGGCCCAGTTGCTGCAGGCCTTTGGCAAGCTCAAGCAGCAGGTGCTGTGGAAATATGAGAACGCCTCGATTGGCCAGTTGCCTGAGAATGTGATGATACGCAAGTGGATGCCACAGAATGATATTTTGGCCCATCCGAATGTCAAGGTTTTCATCACACACGGTGGCATCTTTGGCACCCAGGAGGGTATCTATTGGGGCGTGCCCATGCTGTGCATTCCACTGTATGGGGATCAGCACAGGAATACCATAAAATCCGTGCGTGAGGGCTATGCCCGTAGCCTGGTCTTCTCCCAGTTGACAGTCGACGACCTGGTGCATAATATTGAGGCTCTGATCTATGAGCCGCAGTACAAGCGCAGCGCCTTGGAGGTCTCACAGCGTTTCCGTGATAATCCAATACATCCGCTGGAGGAGGCCAGCTACTGGATTGAGTACATCATTCGGCATCGTGGCGCGCGTCATTTGAAATCACAGGGTGCCTTCATGCCGCTCTATCAGTATCTGCTGCTCGATGTGATTGGCTCTGTGCTGATCGCCCTGTGGCTAACCATCTGGCTGCCCTGGCGCCTGCTCCGCAAGCTGAACAAATGGTGGGCAGCGTCAGCAGCGACTGCCCAGGCGCAGCAGATCAAAAAAGGTTTGTGAGTAGTTAAATGTTGTAGTTAAATCTGTGTGTGTTACAGTCACAAGCAATAAATGGTGATATAATTTTAGACATTTTTGCAAGCAGTATTAATTTCCTTACGAACAATTAATTTCCCCGAAAAATGGTAACTGGAGAGAATGTAAGAGTGTGTATGCATGTAAATGTATCTTATAATCCAAAATAATGTCAGTATGTATGCAGGTGGTGTGTGGATAGAGTTTATAAGAGCATGAAACTAGATAAATTGTGTGTCCAATTGCATGTTGTGACAGTAAATATATAACCCTAGTTTACCAAATTTCCCTATATATGACTACTTGTACAGAAAAGTATAAGACATTTTTGATGAGGATCTTAGAAGCTTGTATAACTATCACAAAGGTACAAACCCAGAAAGCGTACATTGATTATAAGAGTAAATGACTGTATAAGTGTGTGGCATTTCTATAAGATATGCACATATGCAGAGCGCGAAAGTTGTGGCTGCAGTGATTGCCGCTCTTGATTCGCTCTCTTAAGTTGCGTACTCAAAGTTTTTATTGCACTCGCATCCATATGCTAACACTTGGCGTAATTTTCAGTCTGTGGATTGCCCCGGTAGAACAGTTATACTAAAAGAAAGAAAGAACACTTTATTAATTTCGTTTGCAATCAAATGTTGCATACTCTTAGGCAGCAATAAAAGTGAATACAGACGAAAAAGCAAATATGTCACACACTGTTGCATACTTTTGTGCGGCAGCAAATAAAGAACATGTTTTTAAATAAAGTTATAAACAATTATAAACAATCAAATATATAAATAATTAAAAATACAAACATTTTTTCAGGCTGTTCAGCTTAAAAATTAAAATTAAAATACATAAATTCAACTTCATCTTAACGATTGTCTACTGTACTTGTGCAGTCTCTTGGAGTTCTCACTTACACACACACACACACACATACACACGCACCGGCACTTCAACATTCAAAGGTAAGTGGCATAGCTGTTGCCCAGCATTATCTATATTTATTTTTGTTTTTCTATTTCTATGAATAATTTATGTCCCAATTAATTAAATCGAAATAGGCAAACAGAAAAACTTAAAGAAAATATATCCAAATCACATGGCATATTTTGTGTAGAGTGTTTTTTTTTCCGATTCGTTTTTTTTTTCTGTTTCTGAGTTGTTTTTGTTGTCACGAACTGCCAGACAATGCGAAGCTCATAAAACGCCCCCGCACAGCACGTTCTTTTCAGCCAGTCAAGACTGTTGCGAATTGTCGCGCACAGCATATAGAAAATCTTGAGCTATGCTTTAAACGGAACTACAAGGCAACTGACTTGGCTAACCATGAAAATAAAGGGCTGATTCCCGGGTGGGAGCTTAAAGAGTAACCGGAAGAGAATGCCAAAATAATTGCACTCACCTACATAGAACTAAACATATTTTAATGAGCATGGCTTATATTTAAAATGTAACTGAGAGGCAGAATAAGGCTTTTCCCAACCTATAGAGTGTATATGTATTCTTGATCAGCATCAAAAGTTGAATCTGTCTAGCCATGTCCGTCGTTAAGTCCGAGTTTCCATCAGTTATTCTGTTTTCTAGCCACATCTCGAAACTCTTAAGAGCCAGAGACACCAAATTTGTTATGTAGAATATCTTAAAGTATGCAAAGAACCGGAATATTTCACTTATAGAATACCTTCCACGTCTCCGTATATAGCTAAAGGCACAGCCGCTGCATAAGTTTATCCCCTGCATCTGTAAGGACAGAAGAGGCACATTCGTTGTGAATATTTATATTGGAATTTAATTAACATGAACAGACAATTAAACTGCATTTTCTTATCTTAAGCTTCGTTTTCTTGCCTTGCCTTCTCACTGCGAGATCTGAACGCATGTCCTTGAGGCCGTCTACCAAGTGGAAAGTTTCAGGCTTTTATTTTATTGATATTGCAGTTCTACTTGCAACACGATGCCTGGCCCTTACATTAGCTACATTTGGCTCTCTCTCGCACCATCTCTCCATTTCTCTCTCTCTCTCTCTCTCTCTCTCCATCTCTCTCTCTCTCCTCATTTTGCTCAGTAACAGTCGCCGCTTGGCACGAGACTTTCTCTGGTTTATCTTCGCTTTTCTGGCAACCTCCATCAATTCATCAATCATTTCAATATTACTCGATACAGTTTCGCAAGTATTTCTTCAGCTACTTAGCCAGAAATTTCTTATATATTTTGAACTGATTCTTTATGTTATATATGTTAAGGCCACCGTCTTGAGTCAGCCCTACCCCCGCGCGCCCTTCCTTTTGTCAGCCACTCACAAAAATTCGCTGTGGCTTTGGATTTATGTCACATGCATCTCCAACACTTTCACTGCGGTCACCTTGTGAAGGTTCAAGTGCGACTCCATTGTTGTTCGCCTCGTCGTCTTTCTTGTTGTTGTTGTTCTTGTTGTTGCTGCTATTGTTGTTGTTGTTGCTGTTACGAACTGTCCACTCTGTCTGTGGGCCCTGTACCGGCCGCACCGGTTGAGCTGAGTGCCAACAAAACGGACAACAACAAAAATGGAAACGAGTAAGAGGGCTCTAGGAAGGGAGTGCCCGACTGGGAGATACTCTGCACCAATCGCCGAGCTGCCATTACTATCAGTCGATCTTCTATGCATATATAGACAAATGCTTTGCTTCTTTCTTCCATAGCTCCAAACTGCTGAATACGTTCTAGAGTAAATTTGATGCATATATCACCTTTACAAATGTGTGTAAATACCAAAGCCCAAGGCTTTAGCTCCCAAATTTAAGTATGTGCGGGACCAGGTGTTACATGAGCAAAAACAAAAACATGCTGGACCTGTATATACTACTATACGAGAGTCAACATAACAAATGAAGTTTCGCTGGCATTTTATAGCTACGAGAAATTATTTAATAATTGAAAAACGATTTCGATTCTTATCGATTGAGCTGTGCTGCAAAGGAAGCTACGTTCATAATGTCAAGTCTATAGCTCCAAATGTGGCCATTATCGACAGACTGAGTCAATCGACCTTTTTTTTTCATGCTGCTCAAGAATATGCGTAAACACTTTGGAAGCTCGCATATGCCACATTCTGCATGTTACAAAGAATTTACCCATAACCAGTATACCCCCTTTTGCCCAGCTTCGTTCGTTTCTGGGCATAAAAAGAGACGAAACTTTACGCATATTTGGCGCATCTTTTTTGGTATTTTTTCGAGATTGCCTTAATGACGTTTATGTTGTCCGCTTATAAATTGAAAATTTAATTATGCATGTGATTTATTTGTTAACAGCCGCCCCCCTCTAGTCAAGAGTTCGTTAAGCTTTTGACATAATTGCTCCAAAGACTGTCAAATGCAAAATATTGAATATTCAACAATTGACTGACTTTTCGGAGGCAGCTTTTTGTTATTTACGAATTCATTTTTGGCATCTAACGGTGTTTAAACACCTGTGAGTGCGTGTGTGCGCACATATTTGCTTCAAATATCATTTATAATTTGTTATTTGAATATTTACGTAATCAACACACAAACCGGACCTCTCCGACAACACGACGTGGCAGGCACAAACCTCCGCAGTTCCGAGAGCGCCGAGCTGAATGATGGTATCTGTGCCAGGCACGCGAATACTTCAGCCGCCAAATTCAATTCTTGATGGGCCACTTCACAGTTACGAAGAACTGGCCACGTAAAAGGTGAGCGCGACTGCGAATACCCTGTATCTAGCTGGGCAACATACTCATCGAACTAGCTATGAATACTATGCACAAGCTCTGGGCTGTTCTTCTACTTTGGCCAGGCCAACTCAGACAACCAGCTGCTTATAAAACATCGCGATCAAATCTTCTACCCTTGCATCATCTTATATCTGGCAAATAACTCTTAATTATTTCCGGTCAGAAAGCCAAGGAATATCGTCCTGATTGACGACTGTCTGAGTGAATAATTGACTAACACAAGGAGTAGAATCCTAAGAACTAGTTATCTTATGGAAATTAATTCATGTTAACAAATTTATTTCGTGGTGGAAGGGGCTCAAATTGGGATCAGGAACTCACTAAGGTTTAGCCGGACGATGTTTGAGTTTCCAACTCATAGCCAAAGATATTTATGAAAATTCATAATGAAATTAAATGAAATGGATGAAGATAATCATCTGAAGCTAATATAAAATATGGAAGAATAATATAAAATATGAATTAAAGAAAATAAATAGATGAAGATAAGCATCTGAAGATAATATAATAATAAGATAATAAAATATGCAATAAAGAATAATTAAATTTAAAAATAAACACCCAACGCTACCCTTGGGTAATGCCTGCATCATACGTATACCCCAGTTGACTATACCCGCTTGTAAGCATTTTTCAATGGGTACAAGCTGTGCAAAAACAAAAGAAGAAAAAGAACCGTCATCAAGTTCAAATTATATAATCTTTGGGCGCCAGGCCGCAAAACCGGCAAAACTATTCTTGAAATATGTAAATTTCAACTAGATGACGAGATGTCGCTGGGCGCTGGGCCATAAAATATTTTAGCGCTGCGAATAAAATTAGTTGGCAAATGAAATGAAATCGAATCAAGGCATTTCCATTTAATACTTATATTTGGCAAGACGCGTAGTCAGATCTGTAAGCCCAAATACGGACGTCTTCATATCCGTATTGATAATTAGCAAGTGCTCAAATAATTTATGACAATTCAGTGCATTTATAATATTTACGTAGATGAATTTGGTAACAGAAAAACAAAAAAAAATAATAATATAAATTGGGGGACAAGCAACAACCAACAAAAAAAGAGAAACAAGTTGCCAGTTGGTCACATGAGTCCAATAAAAGCCATAAGCAATAACAAAAAGCAAACGAACAGCTTTTGTGGCTGCTTCTGCTGCTTCTTATGTTTTTTATGGCTTAGAGCCACAATTTTGTTGGGTTCCTGCTATTAAAGCCGCGACGCTTTAAGCCAAACACCAAAAAAACAAAAAGACAATCAGAAAAATAAAAGCACACACAAAATGAAGACGAGCGTCGAGAGCACGTGATG